TAAGTTAATTCCAAATTATATATATAAAAAAGAGACCACTTATATTAAGAATTATATTTTTTTTATTGTTGGATAAAATGGCTAATGATCAATTCGGATGGACGGTAAGATTAATTTTGATAAGATTAAAAATAACAGTGATAATGAGATTAGTTATTGATTAAAATCAATAGTGAAATATGTATTTAGATATAAATGAAGTGATAGTATTGAGATGAAATATGATAAGAAAAGAAAATATATTTGTTTATTATTTATTTATATTAAATTTAAAGTTTTTAAAGGTCCTTTTAAAAACATTAATTATTTAAGATATATTTAAAAATAATAATAATGTGATAAAATGGAATGTTATTTTCTAAATTCACTAAAAGATTTTAGTCTTAAATTTCCAAGTATATGGGTAAAATTGTAATAAAAGAATACGAGTAAGAATTAAAAAAGTTTGAACTTGGTGTGGTGAGTCACCACATTTCTTCCCACCAAGGGAACAATGGTCTCCCACCGATGCCACATAGACAAAATCGTGTCGTGACTTTGTTATTCAAATAGCAACTCACGGTGGAATTGCACTTAGGTTGTCAGTCGAGTAAGAAGTTTAGGCTACTAATTAGCTTGCCACTAATTATTCTCGATTATCATTAATCTACTAAAAGGATGCTTAAATACGTCAAAATGTAGCAACGTTTCATTCCATATCAGATAAGTGTTAAATGTAAGTGTTATAAATTTAATTTTGATTTAAAAATTAAAAATATGTAATTCTTAAATTAATATAAGTAAATCCTTTATATATATATATATATATATATCTCTTAAAAAGCATTACTTATTTTCTTTTATATTTTTTTGTTGAAAGTATTAATGAGGATTTTTTTGAAATTTCTAATTTAACCTTACATTTATTATCTTATTATTTGTTTGATTGAAAATGATATTACATAAATAAACCTTTTTTAATTTGCAACTTTCAAATGTCATGATCTTATAATTGAGTCATAATCCTATATCGACTGTGTACTAAAATTGATAATGGGATAAAAAAGTTCACATCATCACCTTCTTGTGAGGTACTTTTTTTAGGATAAAATCGTGAGACCAATATGATCGAAGTAGATAATATATCACGATGATATAAAACTATAACAGTTAGGTTGATTTGGAACGTCAAACGAGTTTATACCCAAGTTTTGGAGCCACATAAGCTTAATAGTTAAGTCTCGACCTATGATAAGTGATATTAGAACTAGCTTTAAAAGTACTAAAGATGTGCCGTTGAGAACAGTGGGCTCTCATTAAAGTGAGAGAGGATGTCATAGTCTTAGAAAAGAGCCATGAATCCCCACATCAGCTATATATTAGAGTTGATAATAGGATAAAAGGGTTCACACTATCACTTTCTTGTAATGTGTCCTTTGTGGGATAAATCATGACACAAAATGAGCTAAAACGGATAATACCTCACAAGGGTATAAACCCTAACAATTAGGCTAATTTGACATGCTGAATAAAGAAATTATGTTCAAGTAAACAAATATGTCATGGTTACAGGAGTCTATACATCGCATATAGGCTTAGGCTTCTCATATAGGCTTAGTCATGGTTGCAGGAGTCTATACATCGCATAGGCTTAGGCTTTAAGTTAAGGGCATCGCATATAGGCTTACGCTTTAAGTTAAGGGCATCATGGTATAACCGTCGAGGTAAGGTAAGGCAGGACCTAAGGAGATCGAATGGAAGGGTACATAGACAAGTAAATCCCTTATGACACTCCTTTAATTTAAGAGGATTCATCATTCGAGGGGAAGTAGACTACTCAAGAATTTCACATTTCATTTATGTCCTAATTTCGAATTGAATAAAGAATTAAGAAATTTACACCACTACCCCATTGTGAGGCACATTTTATAGAATAAAATTAAAAGGCAAAGGGGGTCGATATCTCACAAAAGTGTAAATTATAATAATTAGACTAATCTGAGATGTGGAATGAGTCCATGCTTAGATTCTAGAACAGTACGAGTTTAAAGATTGAGTCTCAACTCATGATACAAGCGTTAACTTATTCAATAATCAATTGAATATTAACGAGAACTTTAATTCTCTTAATTTTATAAACTAATTATATATATGATTTTTTTTAGAAATTATAATTGTAATCAAGTATTAAATTTATACATAAAAAATTATTGAATAATTAACTAATAAATTATAATATAACTAAATAATTTCAAGATAAAATTAAATCAAACCTATACACAATAAAACTTGAATTTCAAACCTCATAATTTTAGGACCTCCTATTTACCAATAAACTAAGACCTCATATATATATATATATATATATATGATTTTTTTTATGGAATTATTTTGAAAAAAGAATGTTGGTTTTTTACTTTCTAAAGAAAAATGTAAAAAATATTTTGATTAACAGAGTTGGGTAGTCCCAAGGTAGCCCATAAAGGCCATAAATGGGCTTAATTCCATTGTCCCAGTGTACTTTGTGTTGGCATTTGCTCCAGCCTCCATGCCTGTCATGTTTTTCAACCTATTTTTTAATTTTTTTAGTCAATCAAATAAAAAAAATATTTTTTTAATTTTTAGAAAAAAATCATTTCAACAAAATAAACGAGTTTTTTGTCAAGAAAATAATAAATAATAAATATCAATATTTAAAAAAAAACCAAAGAAAGTAAAGCTTCAATTATCATCTAATATATGTACCAATTGAATTTAGTTGGACAAAATGACTACGACAAAAAATTATATATTAGAATTAAGTCAATCAATTCGTACAATCTATTATTTTTATATATTATAACTCAAAATTTAACATTTATATATAATTATATTTAAAAAATAATATCTCATAATTTTAAATTCAATTTTCAAAACTTATAATTTTTTAATTTACAGACTATGAAATCTTTTATATATAAAAATTTTATATAAAAAAATCAAGTACAACAAATCTTATTAGCATCGAAAACAACGATAGGCTTTGTGGACCGATAAATATAATGAATCGACCGAGACTTTCTTTTTCTCAGCTTGAAATGCTCATCTTCTTCGATATTAATCATGGCAGAAGCTGCACCAAATTCACCATCTTGAACCCTCCTTCGCTTCCCCGTGAAACCAACACTGCCATCAATGTTATCGTCGTGCCCACATAGTTTAATCAGTTGCCGAGCCACATCTATCTCTGATTCTGAAAAACCCAACGTTCCTTCATATTCACATGCAAATGAAAGCTTCGCCATGACCGATATATAATTTACAAGACGAGAGAAACAAACAAGGGTTTTTTATACATAGATGAGGCGTGTAATAAGAGCGAAATTTCGTGGTTATGGGAAGGAAAAAGCTGATCAAAGACGCGTAGGGTTTGGATTATTTGTTGCATCATCTGGTATTTAATAAAATATATATATAAATAACAAAATATTTTCATGCTTACACACGACGAAGCTTTGATTTATTCTTTGTTCCTTGTTTGGGATGTCTGTGATTCTTTGCTCGTTGATCAGCTTGTTCATATTATGTTCTCATTCTCATTGGCTTTTAGATTGGACAGGCTTTAAAAAAAGTCATACACGTTTTGGATATGGCCTGAATTGTACTTTTTAATTTGATTCGTCGAGACAAATACTACAATTCCCCTTGTTTTTGCATAAAAACACTTTTAAAAATTAATATATGTATTTTTATGAATAAGGCCATTTATTCGGTTCATGAGTACAATTTTACTTAAGTTCAACCTTAAGCAAGATTTTTTAAATTGGTGCCTAATTTGATTAAACCCAAAAATTATTTTATTTAATAAAAAAATATTTTATTTATTTTTAATTAAAATTTTTTAAAATATTAATACTAAAAATCTTTTAATATTTTAATTTTAAATATTTTTATAATTCTTCTTAAGTCAAATTTAGACATAATTTTAAAATATTTTAATATTCAATAATAAGTAGAATTTTAATAATAAACAATAAATATTAATATAAAGTGTTCTTTTAACAATATGAATATTTTAAATAAATTATTAATATTTTAAATATAAAAATATTTTATCTTATTTTTTATTGACAAAAATATTTATTACTATTTTAATAGTATAAATATTTTTAGTATTTCAATAATAAATATTACTATTTTTAATATTAATAGAAAAAATATTTTAACAGTAATAAAACACTTTTGTTTTAAGTGTTTAATATTAATAAAATTTTTATTAAAATATAATTATTTTTGAATATTAATAATATATTAAAATATCTTTAATATTTTAACAATTATGTCAATATTATTTAAAAAAAATAGATTTTTCAAAAATTAACTAAATAATATAAAATATTTTCACTAATTTATCCAAATAATAAAATTTTTTTATTTTTTCAAAAAATATAAAAAATTTTCAAAAAAAAAATTTCTAAATTTCAATTTTCACAAACAAATAAGGCCTACATATTTGTAGTCCTCGTAAAAATTGTACATTTGAGATTAGCTCCAACAAAAAATCATTATAGAATTCAAATTTACAATCATTTACATCAAGACAAACAAACTCAATTGAACCAATTCTTGATTGATTAAATACAATATTATTTATTTTTTGCAATTAATTCCCAATTTCACTACCAAAAGAAGAGCAATGCCAAAGGAGAGAAAGTTTGTTAATGAAATTGTTTTCCATTAGACATGAAATATATATATATATATAATTAAATTCTAATAAAACAAAGTTTTTATATATTTTTTTTAAATAATTTCATGCAGCATTAATACTTTTACAAATCTAACTGTTAATAATAGTCTTGCATTTTTTTTTTTATATCCATTTCTTCAAACTATATTTGATAAAATTAACAAAATGGTTCACTTTTCTTAAATATAATAAAATTCAATAAACAATAGAAACTTTCTCAAAAGAAATGAGAACTGGATATCTGCTAGAACAAGATACGTTGAATCTAACAAGTGATATCCAGAGATTTTCTTTAGGTTGGGATCTTACCTTGTTCATTTCCTGCAAATTCATTGTATTGGTTTTCAAAAACAGACAACAGCAACAACTCTTCAGTCATCTTTCTTACCATTGTTGTCAACCCATATTTCAACAGCTCCATTGTTGCTGAAAACAATCTTGGATTTTCCAGAAATGAGCTCTGCCGATACTCAATAATCCACGTATTAGGATCCAATTGAATGACAGAAGCACCCCATTTCCTTTGCACCCATGAAGCATTTGCTATTCTAGTTACAAATCCAATCCTTCCATTGGACCACTACAAAACCCAAAAATGAAAGGAAAAACAAATACTAATCAAGAATACATTATTATAGCCTTCTGAGGTTCAATCTACTTGTTTCTGCTGCTATGTACTATTTTTTTCCTTGAAGCTGTCATAATTTGAACTCTGACGTTGGCTTATAGGCTAACTTTTTGTTTCTTCAAAAATTATTAGAAGGTACAAAATTCTACTTACTAAAATATAAAGCACATTTAAACAAAGTTAAATCATGAATTTTGCTATTCTCAAAAAGGAAATTGAAGCTAAATAAGTTCTTTGTATTCATCAAAAGGAAAATAAAAGTGCATAGCTTAGCATTTACTTCTGTTACTCTGCCAGATAAGATGGTAAATGATCTGGAAGAAAATCTAGTTGTAAGCAATCCTGCCGTTTGCAGAGGCCATCCCCAAATCCTGACCTCTTCCATTGCCGATTTGTACAATATACAATGCGAATTCAGGAGCAAACTACCCTGTAATTAATTCATAACACACATTAGTTTTAGCATATATAAATTCAATTGTCAGAACCAATTCCTAGTAAAAAGTTGAAAAAAAAATCTTTAAACCTGATCAATTTCCCATATGGAATCCGTATTGCTGCAATTTGAAACCTTCCCATTAGCAAATCCCTCCAGCTCATTTTGCAAGAACCTCAATTTTCCATTCAAATCTTGCACAACCAAAGCTTTCTCGCCAATACTTCTAACAATATCCCTTGTCAACGTTGGCTTTAGAAACCCACCAAAAACCCATAAAAGCCCAGTCTCCATTCCAAAAACCAAGCTCAAACCCAAAAGAAACTTCCAAAATACACCCTGAAAACTACCTTTTTTTCCCTTCTTCTCCTTCTTCTCTCTGTAAATTAATCTGGCAGTTGATTTCAGAGCCGGAGACTCCACGAGGCAGCAAGAACTCGATCTGGGTGTTGACATAATCGAAGGATCGAAAGAGATTGGGGTTTGATCTACAACATTAGGCTTCGAAGATGAGAGCTTAGTGAAGGAGCTCTTTTGGATGCTAGCAGGCATGAGATCAAGAGTAGCGCTGATGCTGGCCAAACAAATTTCACAGTTGCAATTGGCGTCTTTTCTGCATCCAGGGTAATAGCAGCTGTCTCGAGTTTCACTACAGATATCATCTTCCATAGTGGTGGTGGTCGATTTCACTGAAGATGATAATGCACTTAGCGGGGGTTTCATCGCTTCTTGTCTCTGGTTTACCGTTTTGCTTTTCTCTTTGGAAAAAGGTAGCGTTAAACGAGATTTAACGGGATAGGCTGATAGGGTTTTCAAATTTGAACCTTTAACGGTCATGTGATGTGGGATTTCTTTTTTCCACGTTGGATGAGGTTAGTAAATGACTAAAATAACCCTGCATTATTTATTTATTTATTATTTTGGCCACAGCATTCTTTTTGTTTCGTTTACCAACTTGAGATTTAGATTTAGAATTAAAATTTTAATTAAATAAAAAATGTTAGATTCAGACTAGGGTCTTAAACTTTAAACAATGGGCTCTACATGGGGTAAGCGGGCTTAATTGGGCCCTTCAAAAATTTGGCCCACAACTCTGCTTAAGTTGTTTTTTACCAGATTTCCATTCAATTTGTCCATGAAAGTCCGTTTATTTTAAATTTAATATCAAACTATAAAAATATTTTAAAAATAATTAAAATTAAAATTAAATTAAACTAAAATATTTTTATGTGTTGAATCTGAACTTGAAAAATCTTACTTTAATACCCGAATAAATTGGAGCAACCATAACTTCTTGTTGACACTATTAAGAATATTAGTCTATTTGCAAGATAAGTAAATATATATATATATATCTATCTCCCTTCTGACTTGAAATTTGAAATGACTTCTTTATTCGTAATTTTTTATCCATTTGTGAAATTAATGGTAATTTGTCAATAACTGCATGGTTTATGGGTAGAGTATTATATTTTTATTTCAGTGATAAAGGTTCATATCATGCTAGTCCCGAGTACAAAAAAAAAATTTAATGGTAATTTTATGGATGACATAGTGTTTCCATTTCCATATTTCAAGTTACAAAATCATTTTGAAGTCATGAAAATTTTTATATAGTGTTATCTCACATATGTTAAATTTTAAATTTTTGTAATTTAATATTTAATTTAGTCTCTTTTATTATTATTAATTAATTTTAGATTAGATGCATAATATAATACTAAAACTTAGATTTTATTTTATTATTGATATCTTTTTTTTTTAAAATTTGTCACATGATAAATTATTATATTTTCATCCTACATATGATGAAAGTTTATTAATTAGTATCATTTCACATACGTTAAATCTTAATATTTGACAAGCCGCTTGCTTGATCAGTGAGCTTGGATGAATTCGAACTAGATATTTGACCAGGGTTTTTACAAGATTAGGTCGGACTTGTCTTGGACGATAAAATAATTTTAATATACTCAAGCATAAATGAGCAGGCTTACTCGGGTTAAATTTGGGTATGATTTATACGTGTTATCGATTGAATTTGATATAATTTATGAATATTTTTAACTTTTTAATGCATCAAAATTTTAAATTCTATAAACTAAGGTTAGAGTAATGCAATGTATTTTTTTTATTTATCATATTAATTCAAAAAATTTTTTGTTTATCATATTAATTTATTAATTATTTTATATATATCCAAATAGAATGTGTGATAACTATGCTGATAGTGTTTAAAAACTTCATCAATGTAAGAGATAATATTGCATATTTTATTTTTTAAGAAATTATTTTATTTATTGTCAATGAAAATTTTAAACTCCACAAAATTCATAAAGTGATATATAATATTAGAAAAATTGAAATGCTAATTAAAAATAAGTAAATTCATCTAGGTCTTTAAGTTTTAAGTATAATTTATTTTAAATTTATTAATTTTAAAAATAGATATTTTATTCAAAAATTTCAATTAATAAGACAATGAAGTTCTTCTGTCAATTATCTCTTAATTATTTGATTAAGAGTCTCATTAAAAGATAATTTTATTCTTGAAAATTAACGGTCTTAAATACTTACATAAAATAACAACTTATAATAATATATTTATTTTGTTATATATATATATATATATATTTACATATTAGCATATTTATAATTATAAATTTTGTTTTATATGTTTTATTTAAAAAATCTTTTTTATATTATTAATATGTTTTATGTATTTTGAGAAAAACAAAAACAAATTATTATTTTAAAATATTATGTTATATAAATATTTTAGTACATTAATATTTTAATGAGTAAAATAGCCATTTAATGAGAATTTTAATGAAATAATTAAAAGATAACTAGAAAGACTTCTTTATTCTATTAATTAAAAAAAAAATTTTGAGTTGGTCATTTGGAGATATTTTTTTATTTTTTTAACTAACTAAAAAAATTTTCTTTTATAGGAAAACAAATCAAAAGCTAATTATGTTTAATTTATTTATTTATAATGTGTTTGACAGCTAAATAAAAGAGATTCTCATCACATTGTGATGTCTTGAACCCTAAATCCCTACCACCATAATATTAATTATGAATAAATAGGTAACTTCAAATATTAATTCAATAATTATTATTTCATATAAAAATATATTCACACAACAGAGTCTTAACAATCAAAACTAATAATCTCGCAAGTTACTTGAAACTTAATGTTTTTTTTTTCCCTAAATTTTAATATACATTCTCATTTAATTTAAAGATAATACAAATCTATTTTTTTTAAAAATAATACAAATCTTGATGCAAAACACAAGTAAGCCAAATCATGGCACCAATTAAAAACAGGCTGCGAAATTAGGTTGAGTGCCGGCCAAACAAGCTCCAAGCATTCAATTAAATCAACTTGGGATTTTATCCGTCGCTGAATATCCAAAAAGGGTTGAAAAGAAAATTAATCAGCTACATGACCTTCATCTTCTTAACAGTCTGAGTAATATTCAAAGGCTTGGTCGAGCTGTAGATGAAATCAATCGACTTAAACCGCCTCTTTGTTGGCCGGAGATGGTCATCTTCTTCGTCCTCCAGTGGCCGATCTATCTTCAAGCTTTCCCTGGGATTGCTTTCATCAATTTCTTCTTCTTCTTCTTCTTCTTCTTTCCTTTTCTCTGACCCTTTGTCGCCAATATTATTGTCGCTGTATTTTTTACAGAGCAGCATCAGCTGGCGAGCCACGTCCATCTCCATTTCTGAGAAACTCCAGATTTTTTTGCTTTTACGTGCGGATGATGATTTTGCCATTGTTCTTAAAGGAGAAGGAAAAAGGCGAAGCTGCCTTTTTTATAGACTTCAACTTAAACCGACTTAATTCCCAATATTCGACATAGGTTACGTGTACAGCAGCTATTGGATAAAATTTAACAAGATAACTTTCTGGTCAAGATATTGATTGATGATGTTATGTGGGTTAAAATTTTCGAGACAATATATTTTTTTTTAACCAATGTTTGCATCGCCACAACAAATATTAGAGTAAAATTTTTTTACCAATATTAAAGATAATATAATAATAAAAAGTTATTTGATTATTTTCTTTTCTATTAAATTAAGATTCAATTTTTGTGAAAAAAGTTTTAAGAAAAAATTTTAAATATATTAAATTGATATAGAGACTGAATCTTTAATATTGTTAAAAAAAATTATGCTCGTGCAAAACTTAGGATATTCATGATCATATTATCAAAAATAAAATTTTTTCATGAATAGTGGCGAATCCACCTGGTGTTCATGAACATTCTCAAAATTGAAAAATAATAAAATTTAAAAAACACTCCCAAAAAAGAAAAAAAATTCTCTAAATATTATAAAATTAATAAATCTATTAATAATTATATATATTATAACTGTATATATTCAAAAAAAATTTCTGACTCTATCACTATTCATAAATGGAATGGACCGTAACAAATAAAAATGTTACGAATCTTTTTTTTTTTTTAATAGTCAGATGATCGAACAATTGAATATATGATTGAATATTTCGATACTTCTCTATGACAATGGATAAGACTTTGAGAAAAAAAATTTCATGATATGTATCCAATCTATTGAGTTTTTTTTTTTTTTTTTTTTTTTTGTTCTTCACTTTGATAAACACTCCCAAATTCCAAACCTATTGTTAGGACTTAAAAAATGAGAAATACATAGAGCTGCTGGTTAACACTTGACCTTAATTTGGTGCCTGATCTTTAATCATATTACATGTATACATTATCATCCGAGCCCTCCTATCAAGAATCAAAGCCCAAAAGTATTGGGAGACTGATCTGTTTCGTAGGCTTGTGTTTAGGCGAGCTTGAACACCAAATTTATTGTGTTAATTGGGTTTTGAACATAAAATCAATTAGGCTGAAATACGACCATGCATGGACAGCTGCAGCCCACACCATTGGGTCGAATCTGAGTCGACTGACACCTGAAGTCATACACCCACCGCTCACGATCTATACACAAAAGATGAAGCCATTGTTTTGATGATTAGCATGAATAATTCTTCCTCAATTAATCACTTTGTGGAGGATACAAATAATAAAAATGGTGATGATATCAAAGGGATCAATCAAACAATGAGTGGTCCATGTTGAGTTTGGGCAGCCATGGCCAGGTCGAATTGCCTTAAAGAAATTGAAGGGAAAGCAATAATATCAGGCCGCTTGAAATCTTTCCAACCCTTTACAGGGTTGGTTGTGGTTGTACCATCCAATCCTATGTGTGTAACATGCTTCACATCTGTTGGGAACCCAATTTCCATCTCTGCTGTTTCTTCCTCCATTTCTTTGTAAACTGAAATACCACAAGGCTGCATGCATTAGTAAGTTCAAGGAAAATATATACTTTCAAAACACTACATCCAAAAGCCACGTGTATCAGTGTATGTTTGAAAATTAACTTTTCAGACCATTGTTTTACACCACCTAACTAAAAATAAACTAGGATAAAAATATTTGCATGATTTGTTGATAAAATATTATACTTTTAATTTCAATGATTTAAATTCAAATTTTAACAAATTCAAGTACCAAAAATACTAAGATCAAGGTCATATTTTTGAAGAAATGATTATACACTCTATTTCTACGTATATCATTTTCATATAAATCGTATAACAAAATTGCATTTTTCAAAAAAATTAACTATTTATTACATAGCATATGTTATAATTCAATAAACTCATTAATGATTATTATATAAAATAGTTGCTTTTTTGTTTAAACATGATTATATCACATGATTTGAATGGAAGTATCATATACTCATATAAAGTAACCATATTATATAATCCTTTCTCTTTATTTACTTGCCTTAGTCAAAGCATGCGTGAAAAAAATTAGGCTCACCTGTCTAATACATGTACAACCAAATAATTTGGCAGAGAAAAGTAATCGGTTTAAGTAATTATCAGACTTACCAAATAACTGAGAGAAACTTTTTAGAGTAGTCCTGATCAATCTGTATATCCCACTGGATATGTTGGGCTTTGGCAGAGGCAACCAACCAAATGAGTTCTTTGTTCTTCCCTTGGATGAACATTCTTCTCCTACTTGTTTACCGTAATTACAAACAGTATCAGACAAAACCTAATTAGACATTGACAGGCACCTAAGAAAAGATCAGAGAGAAATTACAAACTGAGAGAGATCATGATCATACTTGTTGGAGTTGCTTCTGATTTTGGTTTCCTGGGGGGACTTTTGCCAACAGCAACACTTGCCTGAGAAGAACAGCCATTGGAGAAAGGAAGAACTATAAACCTTTCCATTCTGTCTTTCATTCCTTCATTGATGATGAAAACCAAATGGCAATGGAAATGGATGGAACTATTGGGTGAGTTATAATCGTTGGATCTTGGCTTTATGAACAAGCTAGACTGATTTTGGCTTGGAAATGGAAAGAACCACTTATCGGCATTAAAATGGTGAGGCATCGAGAGAGTCTGATGATGGAGTGGGTTGGGTTTGTTAGTTGGTTAAACTGTGCAACTCAACCTAATTTTTGCTGATTAAAGCCTACTACAACTCTTTGTTTATCATTCTCTAATTATTGGTGGTGGGCTCGCTCTGGTTGTCCTCTCTTGCATTTCAAGCCACCATTAATGATCACGTCATTAATTCAATCCCTGATCATTTTCTTTTTTCTTTCAGATATTTCTTCATGATCGACCTGGAATTGGCATAATGGCATCAATCATAGAGTGAATCAGAAGTGACTTCACCATCGAATTCAACGACAGGCTCAAGCATTCCTTAGTTGTGAAAAAAGTAGGATAGCATGATGCATATGTCTAGTAAGGGAGAAGTCCGCCAGACTCGTGAGTCTTGGTTCAATTAAAGTCGAGATATAAGATAGAATTTTAAAATTCAGATCCAACCCATAAACATTTCTAAAATCGAGTTAGTCTTTTAAATGTTTTAGGATACAATTTTTTGTCTTTTCCCCGATTGTATTTTATCTTCTAAATTGTTATCATTATCTTGATAATAATTTAAAAATCAATATAGCGATACGATATAAAAATAATAAAAAAATATAAAATGATATAATTTAAAATTTTAATAAAAACAATGTATGGATTTTGATAAAACCTAAAAACAAATAATTTAAAATTTAATTTAATTGGTTCATATAATTATTCTTAAAAAAATGGCATCCAATAAATCGATGTTCAAATTATTAGCATGGTCACATAATTAACCCTACTCAATTTCAAAAACCTTAACATAGTATAGGTGTTTCAAAAACCTTAATTTAGTATAAGTGTCTTAGTAAATTTGTGTAACTTAGATAAATTGACTCCATTAAAATTAATAAAATTTAAAAAGAAGATAAAAAAATTCCTAAAATGTCTTATATTTATATTATATTATTTTTTTACATGGCTATAAATTTTTACACAATTTAACTACTAAAAATAATATTCTAAGGTGAAATATGGTATATTTCAAATATATTATCACATACATTAATCTTTAAATTTTAGTTATTTGAAAATATTATTTACTTGTTAATAGAAAGGAAGCCTTCAAACCTTGCAATCTTTAGATTCAAGTTTCACCAAGAACGAGTTTTGTCTAAAATTATATATTGATTATTTGGTTGTTAACTTGATTTGCTTATTGGTTTTTCTTTGAGTTAAATGAAAAATTATTTAATTATGATGGTAATTTCTTCAAGTACATATAATTTCATAAAAAAATATTGTTTATTTTTATATCTAAACAAATCATTTGTCTTTTTTTTGAAGAAAAAAATAATAACAAAATAAAAATGAAATGAAACCAACTTAACTTATAAAATTCAAAGATAATAAAATTATAGATTAAAAATAATATCTCATTATCATTGTATTAATTTTTTTAATGAAGTAACGAAATAATATATTCTATAATTTTATAGGCTTAAAACTTTCTAATTTAACATAATTTTTTTGTCAATAATATAATACATATAATATTATTTTTATACAATAGAAGTTGAAATATTACCCCCAACTGAATTTTTTTGGCTATCCCCTGATTTAAATCTTAGCACCATAGTCTCTTTTATACCAAAAAAATTTTCAAAAACAAAAATAAATTTCATTTTTGGCATATCGATGTGAATTTAAAACGATAATTTTTATATTTTATTTATATTTAATAAAAATAAATACAATATAAATATATGAATTATAAAATCTAATTACGTGCACTATTTTAATAAAGCCGCTCTCATATTCCCCCGTTTTGCCTTTTCCATATTTCTTTTTTAGGTTTTTTTTTTGTCTTTTTTATTTTATTTTTATTTGCATAATTTGTTTTGTCAAGTTCAACTAACAGGCAAGCACAACTACAGTTTCAATTCAAGGAATTGGGTTTGGACATGTAAATTAGATATATTTGAACCAGTCCAGCCCATCACCTTTTGGACATCATTACAACAATTGGAAATTAAGCTTTATCACTTATCAATTATCTCTTCAGAACATTGAGACCATAAATGAGTGTGAGTTAATATATAATCCATTAGTGATTAATGGACGTCTATCAAAAAATTAGAACAAAAGGATAATATATAATTGACTGATTGTAACATTTTAATTATAGTTTGATGACCAATATATATATAAAATAAAACTTAAGTGATAATTAATTCACTACGTGGTTTACTCTAATTTAAAATTATTCTTGGGTATCATTGAAAACCCTTTCCTCACTCACCAATTTTTGTGTGGTTGTGCCCTCAAAATTAAAGAAAAAAAGACAAAAAAAGGGAAAAGAATGTTCAGAAAGGGAAAGATTGTATAAAAAGGTTTTGTTTCCATAAGCCTTATAGTAGTTCTCAACAAATTCATTTGATTCATAGCATCTTTTTCCAAATATGTAATTAACATCCATGCATAGTTCTTTTAGGAGATTCAAACCCATCACTTAAAAAAACATCCACTAATTATTAAGACTTTATTTGAATAGACAGTGAAATTGATTACAATGAAATTGAAAAAAATAATAAAAATTACTATAGTTATGATTGAAAAAAAAATTATTGTAATTATGATTTAAAAAAACTTAATGAGAAATTTTTGTTGATTTCAATTCACTAAAATTGACATTTGAATTTAACTAGAAATACGATAAATTTAATTGTACTACATTAAAAATATGATAAAATCTATACGGAGACTAAATTAAATTGTAAGTGTTTATGTACGGAACTAAGCTTGTTGGCACTTTCAAGGTTATATCTATAGACTCGAAATTATTAAGTTAAATAGGATCAAATTTATTTGAGTTTTTTTTAATAATATTATATATTATAAATATTTAATATTAATTCGAATTTGATTTGATTTTTTTAAAAAATTGATCTGTTTTTAATTAAATTTTATTAGTTGTTTTTTATATTTAATTTTTATTTTATTATATTATTTTAATATAAATTCTAATATATTTAAATAGATCTAGATAAAAATAATTATTTTTATTTTATAAACATTTAAAATATATATAAACTAATAAAAATTATGATTAATATTTTCAGTTCTTTTATTTTTCGATTTGGAATTAATAAAATTATATAATAATTAAATTTAAACTGAATCAAATAAAAAATATATATAAATTACTACGATATTGAATTGATTTTCAGCGTTCACACTTGGGATTTATTACATTAATCAAAGGTGAGTAGAAGTTAATACCCCAATCTTTCTTACTTTACATCTATTGACTCCAAGTCTTAGGTAATAATTTTCTATAGTTTCACACTTCTTTCTGCACAAAGAAGGAAAAATCTTATCAATATACAATATTTTACCAAATAGTTCCACGTATCAAACGCAAATTTTTGTCAGAAAGGCAAAAGTTGCAAGAAAGATATAGTCAAAATGTTATTGGAAGTCCATTCATTGTGCCAAGACTTTCTTCTGTAAATTTGTATTATATTGCTACAATAGCAATGGGAACAAGAAATTGACCCGTTATTCTTCCAATGACAGACGAGAAAAACCATTGAAACCAGTTAAAGAGTACGTTTTTTCACCATGAAATACGCAGTAGTTGAAGACTTTTGAATTGATCTCAGGGGAGACTCACGGATTGTAGCCATCTGTCTATTCCATTATCTATTGAAAAGTGAATTTTACTTGTATCAATTAATGATCACTTCATCAGTGCTCATTTTCTCTGTTTTACTGAAAAAGTATTATGGGTTTCCCTTTGGATCTCTCCATTTCAATAAGATTACTCTTTTTACTCTTCCTGTTTTTTCATGGTTCTTCAGTGCAGCCATTGTGCCATCCTGATGAACTCTCAGCATTGTTGCAGTTCAAGCAAAGCTTTGTCATCATTAACTCTAGTTCTCATGATTATCCCAAAACTGAATCCTGGAAAGTTGATGAGAAAAGTGGCGACTGCTGTTCTTGGAAGGGGGTGGAATGTGACAATAGCACTGGTCATGTAATCGGCCTTGACCTTAGTAGCAGTTATCTCTTTGGTTCAATCAATTCCAGCAGCAGCCTCTTCCGCCTTTCTCACCTACAATGGCTTAATCTCTCAGACAATGTCTTCAATAATTCTAAAATTCCTTCAGAGATCAAGAACCTCTCAAGACTAACATTCCTTGACCTCTCTTACTCCAACTTCTCCGGTCAGGTACCGTCAGAAATCTTAGAGCTGTCAGAATTAGAGCTCCTTGATCTGTCAGGGAACTCATTGAAGCTTCGAAAGCCAGGGTTGAGGCCTCTGCTTGAGAAGTTATCCAACCTTAACGTACTCGATCTTAGTGATGTGAGAGTATCTTCTTCCATACCTAATAATATCTCACCAAAGTTTTCTTCATTGTCAGCTTTAATTTTATCAAATTGTGACTTGCGTGGTGAGTCTCCCATCGGAATTTTTGAGTTACCCTCGCTTCGGTTGCTCAATCTGCAGTCCAATCCGCAACTTACTGGATATTTACCTGATATTCAAGCCAACCACCCTCTTTTGAAATTATCCCTTGCAAACACAAGTTTTTTTGGGCAGTTGCCAGAATCAATCGGAAACTTGAAGTCCTTGGAATATTTGGACATCAAATACTGCAAATTTCAGGGAAGGTACCATACTCACTTGGTAACCTTACTCAACTCAGATTTCTTGATCTGTCTTCTAACAACTTTTTGGGACCTATTCCTTTCTCTGTTGGAAGACTAAACCAGCTTTTGGGTCTGGACTTCTCTTATAACAAATTTTCCGAAGAGATCCCTTCTTCCTTGGCCAATCTTACCCGGCTTGTTTATCTATCTCTTGCCACCAACAATTTCAACCGTGGAACCTTGTCTTGGCTCGGTACGCAAACCAATCTAACTTACTTGGACCTGACAAACACCAGTTTA